CCTGCATTAACACAGGAGCTTTGGGTGGATACCTCATATTCAAACCATAACACTATTCAATTTTTTTCTATGCACACATTTTATGTTGAGTTAACCTTCTTTTGTTTAACGATTTGCTATAAATCTCTGACAATTAGAATATATGCCTTATTGTGGATGCATATTTTAGTTACTGCTAAGCACCAGCATCTGAAATTGTGCCTGACAATTTGTACAGAGTAGTTGCACAAATATTAGTTGAGAGAATAAGTCAGTTAATTAATTAACTAATTTATTCACATGTATTCAATAGAGAGAATTTGATATCAGGAGTTACTTTGCCTAGGGATGAGGGAGAAGGTGGAGAAACTAGGCATAGGAAATCTGGCAGAAGCAAAACTAATTATTTTTTTTTTAAAAAAAAACACAACCTAAAGTACCTGAAGAAGCAAATCATCTGCTGCTATCAAGTGGAAGACTTAATTTGCATTCTTACAAGTAAAGAGAGTCATCAGAAATTCTATAAAAATTTAACTCAAAGATTCAAGTAAATGTGCTTACTGCTGTAGCAGCCTGGGAGAGATTATAGCAGTCAGATGCCTATGAACAGATTTGATATAATGAAATTTACAAATGTTCAACATTCCTTTTATTTTTCCCCAATGATCTTTCTGAGGGTGAGGCTACTCCTCTGATTCAAATTTATTTTTTTAATATATTTTTTTAGTTGTAGATGGACACAGTACCTTTATTTTATTTGTTTATTTTTATGTGGTGCTGGGGATTGAACCCAGTGCCTCATGCATGCTAGGCAAGTGTGCTACCACTGAGCCACAACCCTGGACCTCAAATTTATTTTTTAAAGGAGGTTTCATTCTTCACTGCAAAATACAAATTCAATGCATAAAACTTAGAAAAATAGAGATAAAAAAGTATTCATGATCAGAGTACACGGAGATAATCACTGTTAACACATTTTTCTAAAAAATATGAGTATATAGTAGCACTATTGTTTTTGTCTCTCTGCTGTATTGAACCTGAAACAAGGGCTGGAACATAAATGCTCAAGTAATAATTTTTGAGTGAATCAATTAAGACATGCATTGTGTATTTTTCTTCACATTCATCACCCATTTGAATAATAGGTTCCCCTTATTCTTTTTGGTCCCATGTCCCCCACCCCTCGCCAAAGGAAAAAAAAACATATTTAAAATATTTTTGACTTACTTTCTTTAGCTTTGACTCATGGATCTAATTTTTAGGTATTTCTTGGCATACTCTAATATTTTGACTATCCTTCCTGAATGTAAAACTGAACACAAGACATTAAAAGGGCTGTCTAAGCGAAATACAGATGAGGGCAATGTTCCAGATCATGCATTTTATGGTCCATTTACAATCTGAGGATCTCCTTGAATTTTAAATAGCAGGATTAGAGATTTGGCTCCTAGTCAACTCGTGTTCCAGGGTGACACCTAGCTTTCTCCCACCTACTTAGAATGGAAGTCCCATTTGCTGTGCTTGGGCTCCAGAGCTGGTGAATTGCCAGTGTTCTTTCTTTATCACATCATGTTTTCTTCTCCTTTCTCCTCTGAATGCATGTCTGTTTCTTCCCTCACTGAGGAAGTTTATACTTACCAAACCAAATTTCATGTTACTTTTCACTGTACATCTTCAATTTAACAACCAACAATTACATTTTTTTAAAATATTGGTTTTATGACCTTCCACAGTTGAAAATGCCTCTGATCTCATTCAGCTTAGAGCTTACCTGTAAATCACCTGAGACGAATTATTATTGCAACTTTCTATTGAGCTATGTGGCTTGAGCCCTAAATACATTTTGATAAATATTGGGTAGAAAGAGAAAAGGCAAATCTTATTAATTAAAAATACAAACTAAATAACTACATAAGAATCATTATGCATTATGAATTTCAAAACGGAGCAAATTTGTACTGTGTTAATTTAACTAAGCCAGATATGTTTCCCACAATTCCCTTCTCAGTTTATTTATTTGTTTATTTTATTTATGTTTTAACTTTATTTATATAATTTTTTTTAGTTGTAGATGGACACAATACCTTTATTTTATTTGTTTATTTTCATGTGTTCTGAGGATCAAACCCAGTGCCTCACATATGCTAGGCAAGTGCTTTACCACTGAGCTGCAACTGTAGCCCCTCTCAGTAGTTTTTGAGCAAAGCCTTTTCATGAAGATTTCTACATAAGATTTGTAAGGCAGAGGTGTGAAAAACAGCTACACTATTATGATTTTGTACTACTGGGTGTACTACCACTGTGCTACATACCCAGCCCTTTTTGTTAAATTATATTTTATTTTGAGGCAGGGCCTTGCTAAGTTGCTGAAGCTAACCTTCAATTGCTAAGTTGCTAGAGCTGGGCTCCAATTTGTCATCTTCCTGCCTCAACCTCTGGGGTAGAGTCCCTGGGATTACATGTATGCACCCCTGTGCCCTGCAAAAGTAGCTGTATTTGTGCTCTGGTGGTAGCTCATCCACATTGTTGCTGATCTGGGGGTTCCCCTAGTTGGTGCAGAGCAATAGCCAGACCTATGGCTCTTCTAGCTCCAGCCAAATTGCTCCTTTAGCATCTGCAAATCCTAAATCAGGCATATGTGAAAGTACACCAGCTTATCTTGCAGGTCACCTATATGATTAATGTTGGCAAACCTGAAAGACAAATGTATATGCCAGTTTGAACTGATAGGTTCTGATCTCTCCCCATAGACCAGTGTTGCCTTAAGAATACAATCTTTCTCGTATGTCTACTTTGTTCTTGTTTCCCCAAACTTTATGTTGTTCTTTCCTTAACAACTTAGTAGGAAGGACAGCAACAGTGACTTTGTAACCTATTTTGGGAAGTGACAGCCCACCACTTTTGTTGTATTCTTCTTGTTGGAAGGGAGTCAGAGATTCAGCTATCACTCAAGGGAGGGAGACTATAAAGAGCATGGATACCATAAGCAGGGATCATTAGAAGTCAACTTTGAAGCTGTCTACCACATCCTCCCAAACAGATCTTTGAAGCTTAAGTAAGTGCTATGCAGAACTTCTCTTTAAAAAAAATTAATAGAACTTCTAAGAATCTTGGAATTTTCTCATAGTATTTTTAATAGAAAAGATATTTGTCTGTGACTAATTCCTAATGGTGTAGATTAGGAATTCATTCATGGGAAACTCACAAAATTTTTTAAAGAAAATGAATTGCTGTGGAATAGAGACACAGGGACAGGCAAACCTGAAAGAAGCATTTCTATCATCCAATTTTTATAGGCAGGAGAATGACTAGGAAGTCTACTCTGTTGCAAATACTTGCTATATCTTATGGAAAAGAAAGAACAGTTCAGAAGGTGGAATCAAGACTCTGGGTGATGGAACCAGGGCTGTGAGAACAATCCACAGTGGGCAGGGATTTGCCTCAAACAGAGACATGGTAACATATGTCAGGCCAGATTTCAGAATTATGTCAGATTGGTGGCTGCTTTGTGACTCCCTTTACTAGGCTCTGAATGCAAGTTATCTGTTGTAATTATCCCTTACTCCTTTCACCAATCTTGGGAGTGGTGGGGCAGTTGAGTTGCTTACTTATTTCATAGGCTTTCAGACCTAAAAGGATATATCCAAGGAATGACACCCAAGGAGCATCATTCACATATGAATTGGAAGGATGCTTTTATGGAGACCCTTGGGATGAAATGAAATTTGTTTTTGAAGATCATAGGAATGTAAACAATGTGTGGCTAAGAAAGTGGACTGTGGCAGTTTTAACACTTGCTTGTAAGTTCTTTGACATACTCTTCACTAAGAAGTCCAGTCTATGTTCCCTCCTCTGTAATCTGGGTTGATTTATGTTTCCCCCCATAGAGCAAGGGAGAAATGATGTTATGTGACCTTTAGATGACAAAGGGTAATTCCTATGGGATACCACTTCTGCTTTGTTGGTTTGAACATTTGCTCTTGGAGCCCCATGCTGCCACAAAAGGAGTCTGACTATTCTAAGGAGGCCATGATGGGAAGTCCAAGCCATGGAGAGGACATGTGATGGCAACCAGGTTACAGTCCTAGTCATTGAGCAATCCCAGTCCAGGTACTAACTATGTACCCGAACATGCCTTTGGATTGTTCTAGCTCCCAGTCTTTGAATCACATTCCCTCACTGCTTTTCCGTCTTTCAATGTGATGTCCCAGGTATTGTGGTACAGTGTAACAAACCATCCTTGCTTTTTACTGTCCAAATCCTGACCCAAAGAATTTAGGAAAATAAGAAACTAAGTATTGGGATTGTTTGAGGTGTAGTCATAGTATCTAGGACTAAGCCAAGCAAAAACATCACAGCTAAACTGTGAATGAAATGAATCTGAGGCCAAAATTTAGTTTTGGAGCAGACAATAGGCAGTGTGTTTGTAATTTTTTTGGATCTTATGTAAATGAGATAATGAGTGTAAGTGCTCCTATTACTATGCCTAGTAATAGAAAGTATTTATTCTTGTGCCAAAAGAAATACATGTGTAGATACACTTCTAAATGATCACCATCAGTGATCTGCTAGTAATAATCTTCTGGTCCAATGTTCTAAAACTTTAAAAGTATATTTCCAAATTATATATGAATAAAGATGTTTATTGTTCAAAGTCATGCAAATCTGGGCAGAGCTGGAATTCAAACCTAGATTTTTTTTTACTCTAAGTTTTATTTTTCATTACTATATTCTCCTCCTCCCAGACATTTTAATGTCTAGAGAAAAGATTAAGAAACTCCAATTATGAAAAGTTGCTTCCATTGAAGAAGTGTCAGAATGAAAAGTTAACCTTACACCCTAGAAAAGAGAGATCATCCCTTGATGATTTAGTGGTTAGGAATATGATGAGTTTATATATGGAGATAAGTTTCTGTATTTCCCTGTGTGTGCATGTGTCTTTAATTTATAAAAAATTAAAATTTAGGTCAGCTTAACAAAGCATTTCATTTTGGTGAGGATTAAGCCTTCATTTTATACACTAAAGTTTGATAACCATCTTTACTTCAAAGAAAAGGCAAGGACAGATATGGGATTTAATCAGTACAATTTTGCATACAGACATCAATGATGCACAAGGTTCAGGACTAACTGGTTATTAAGGCCCCTTTAATTTTCACAGAGATAGTAACCATAGTTCCCATCAATGCAACATTGATTATTTCACAGATACCTGGCAAAGGACTCTCTACATACTTTTTTTTAATCCCCAAAGCAAGCTTCTAGAGTAAATATTACTTTGCCTTTTTTCTACAAGTGAGAAAGCTAGTACTCAAAAAAGTAAATCATTTTCCCAAGGTCACCCAGCTAGGAAATAGTGGAGTTGGAATTATAGGATGGTTCAATCTCTCACATCCTCATCTTTATAAAGTACTCTAAAGAAAACACAATAAAATCACATATGGGAATTACATATGATATGACCAATCACAGGAAAAATAAACCTGTAGTAGTCTTAAAGGTTTTTATCTCTCTATACGTAGGGTTTTTTAAGTTACAACCATTTGATCTCCTTTTGAGAATATCATTGCTATTATAACTGTACAGTTTTAACATCCATCCAATACATAACTTTTCTACCTGTATATGTTGGTAATTTTAAAATATATACATGGAAAAACATATAGTACATACAAACCAAATGCAAATAAAAATATTTTAAAAACTTTAGAAATTCTTTAAGCAGGTTATGTTAATCCTATTAAAAATGGTTTTTCTATGTACAATACATAATCTTTAAAAATACTACTCCAGGAAACAAAAACTCTTTGGTTCAGCAAAAGGACTGTAAGTGTGGAAATCTGATTTGTTAAGGATGCACTTTCTTGGATTGGGCCTCACTTATCGGCTTAAAGTCTTCAGGAAACATATAACTGACTTTCTCTGGATGATGAAATAGGTGTGCAGAACAGGTGGAGGTTGCATTTCACATAGACTATTATAATATAAAAATATAACCAGAAGCTTGAATAATGCTGGAATTTGGATATCATTTGTAAAAGAAAAAAAAATTACAGAGAAAGCTCTGCTTCCCATCCATTTTGGAAAGAGGAAATAAAGTGATCATGGTCAATCCCTATAAACATTCACTTACTAGTGATGTTCTTAGGTACTAGTATCCAACAATATTGAAAATGTTCTATTCATTATTTGGAAGATTGCCAGGAGGAGGCAGGAAGAGGCCAGATGCTAGGTGTTTATTCATTTCATTTTGCTTTGTTTTTGCAGTACTGGGGATACAACACAGGGTTACTCTACCACTGAGCTACATCCCTAGGTTCATTGTTATTTTATTTTGAGACACATTTTTTTTTAAATTGGTGGAGACAGGGTCTTGCTAAGTTGTTGAGACTGGCCTCAAACTTGCAATCCTCCTGCCTCAGCCTCACAAGTCACTGGTGTTACAGGCAGGAGCCACTGCAATCAGTAGTAGGTATTGTTTTACTTCTAAAATCCTGTGACTTCTTCAATGGCATGTAATTATAAACACATCCAGGACTCAAATCTCTTTAAAAAGAGTCATTAACTCCTTAGAGATTGCAGAGCATCAACATTTGCTAATAGGTTTCTCATTAAAAATTAATGGTAGCCACTCTATCCCTTTTTGGTTTATTAATAGCAACAATGACAGAATTGACCAAAATAGCTCAGAGTTTCAAAAAGTCCATAACTTTACCTATTGGAATTTATTCTCCTTTATCTCTAACAGGGAGGAAAAGCTTTCATGATTTCATTTTAACATATTTTCTACTTTGGTCGTGAAAACATTTTAGCAGCTAGAACCTTTCTAAAGGTCCTCATTTAACCATAAATTATAACCACTTTTAGCAGAGTTTTTGAAAATATCTGATGTATCATTCATAGCTGGTCACAGGAGAAAGAAAAATAGTTTTGCTTTGTTTAATTTTTCTAAGTTTCTCAATAGAATATAATGGATAAATTGACTTATTTACTTTATGGAGTATCACTCTCTAATACTCACACAGTTTCCAGACTACTTTCAGAAGCATATTTGTGTATTTCTAGGCTGAAAGAAGTCAAGAACTATTGATTACCAAGATTTCTACATAACATCTTTTAAGATGCCACCATGCCTATGTAGAGTTGTTGAGTGCTAGGGAAATCTTCCAAAATTTACTCAGATTCTTCCTCTTACTTGCAGAACTTAGTTGCTCAAGGGCAAGGCCCTCGTTAAGCCCTTATTATGACTCAAAAGAGAAGAGTATGACTGGGAGGGAGCAGTAGATTTCAGAGAAAACTATGCTACTTCAACAAAAATGGTTTGATTGTGGAAAAGGGGCAGGGGATGGCCTTCAACATTTGACACAAGCATAGAATGGAATACATGAATAATTCACAACATCTAAATGAGACATTATCATTCAGAACCACATCCATACCACTCTCCTCCACCTCCTGCACAGGGATTTCTTTTCCCTAATGGTCTTCCAAAAGATACTGTAATATAATAATCATTGTCAGATTTTTGATCCTTATTGTCCTCTTCTGTATAGGCAATAATCATCTTGTCTTCTGTTAGAAGTCCTTATCCCAGCCGGACAGCTCATCTGGAGGCACTCCCTTTTCAGGAGGATACTTGTCAAAGTAGCTGTGATCGATGGGTCCACTGAGCTAATATAGAAAGTTTTAAGACAAAGGTGAGAATGATGTTGATTAAGCATGCTATTGTACCCAGGCCATCTTTTTTTCCTACCTGAACACTGATTCAATACCACAACCCCTTGTAAAGAACACATTAAGAAAATATTGGCCAAATATCATCATTGAGTCACAGTCTCAGCTTACTGAGATTTTTTTTACTTAAGAAGCAAATGATCAGTAGTCAGTGGCTTACATTCATTAGTTGCTACTTGGCATGAGGAATTACTTTCTAAAGAAAAAGTAACAGGAATAATACCTATGATTTTATCAAATTGAAAAATATTTTAAAAGCAAATATGTAAAAGTCAAAGTTTGTCAGAGCCTTTCTTCTACTTAAGTTTTTTACTAATCTTGAATTTTTTTTGAGAGAGAGAGAGAGAGAATTTTTTAATATTTATTTTTATTTTTTAGTTTTCAGCGGACACAACATCTTTGTTTGTATGTGGTGCTGAGGATTGAACCCGGGCCACTTGCATGCCAGGCGAGCGCACTACCACTTGCACCACATCCCCAGCCCAATCTTGAATTTTTATATGGTTAATTCATCCCTATCAGATATCCATAATGCCAAAATGACAATTAAAAATATTAGTGATCCTGTTTAAAGAATAAAATGTCTCTGGCACTAAATTAGTTTACAAATCAGGTAGTTTCTAATTCTTTTCTTTCAAATAAATTATACAGTGCCCAATTGATGAATCAGTTTAAAATATCATTAAAAATATAGCTAATGATCATCATAATGTGTTGGAGCTTGGGGGCAAGGTGGGGGAATCATTCATTGGCTTGGGGTACGCTTTTTGGACAGTATAGTCCTAGAGGAAGCAGAACATCAGCTGACTTGGGTGGAAGAAAGACTTTTCCAGGTTAATGCCCTGTTATCTTTTTGCTAGTGTTGTCTCTGAAACAATTGTGAAAGGCTATATCTCTTTACACATTTGCAGACTGATTACTAAATTGTCATGTAAGTTTTCATAGTTGTGGAGAATGTAATTTTTAGTATGTTGTAAATATTGTCATTTTCAGATAAAATGTTATTGTTACTTTACGCCTTCAAACAAGTCTAGTGTACTTTAGTGATCACTGAAGTTTGATAAACCATTTTTAAAAGTCAGAAATATTACATCACTTTTCTCCCTCCATTTCCATTTTCCTATAAAATTCATCTTAATATAAAATGTTTTTTTGCTGTTAAACTTTATTATTTATCTTTCTTTATCATTAAGTGCTTTAAATTTTAATATATTTTTAAAAATTTCTGTGACAACAGAAATTTCTGTGATAGCACAAACACTTCTTCTGGATTCTGTTATAATTACATTTTTAATGGCATGCATCAGTACCAGATGATATAAGTACAATACAATATTTTAAAGGTAACTATTAAAGAAATCATATGCCATCTGTTAGCCTGATGAACATCGAGTACCTTGGGTCTTGGGTGGCACTGACATGTAAACCGTTCCTGAGAGGACAGCTAATGCTGGTCAAATAGGAAAGAGTAGTTAGTCCCTCTGATCAAAATTACTGTCAAAAAACCACCTAGACTGTTATGTATCCATGTGCATGTGTGTGCATGACTATGCACACCCACTCCTAAAATCTGTTTACAAAAATAAATCCTCAGAAAAAAATAAGTAGTATAGTAAACACCATACCTCTCTTCGTAAGGGTGAGGGGAGATTCCGTGCTTTCAGTCCTTCCCAATTAAAACCATTTAACCACCTGAGAAATGAGAAGGGGGATATTACTTGTCAATTCCTTTTGCTTCCAGTTCTCTGTCTGCAACAGGGCAGTTACAAGCCTCCAGAGGAAAATCATGCACCATGCTGGTGGTTTGATCTGGCTAAATTAAATATATGTGGGAATGTAATGCAACCCAAGTATCATCCAGATTTCCCTTTATACTCTCTCCAAATTTCCAGAATCATCCCATTCTCATCCTCCAGATGTTCTTGCTTCTTATTTCAGTGAGAAAACTGAAGCAAAAAAAACCCCAAAAAACAAAAAACCATACACACACACACACACATACACATACAGACACACAAAACCTTTCCACAATGCCCACCAGATTCTGTGTTACCTTTTTTCCTATACCATGAAATAACTGCCTTTGCTTCTAGCTAAGTTCAATGCTTCCACTATATACTTGATTTCATTGACTCTTCTCTGTTCAACGACATACTAGACATACTCCTGCAATTCTCCTCTGTCCTGAGTCTTCTCTGTAAGATCATCAAACATTTTATTTCCTAGAACACAACATCCTCCCCTGACCTCAGTTCACCTCCAACTCCCATCCCATTCCTTTCCTTACATTAGAGGAAAACTCCTGGAAAGAGTAATTCAATTACCCTCTCTACCTATTTTCTCCTGACCACACCAGAATCTGGTTTCATTCCCTATACTCCATTGAATCACCTGGATTCTCAGTTTTCCTCTTACTTGATCTACTAGTAGACTTTGCAATTATTCATCAGACTCTTTTCACTTGGCTTCCAGAACACTACATCCAAACTTTCCTTCTTCCTTCTTGAGCACTTTGCCTCCTCTTCCACTGTTTTCTTCCTGAAGCTCGTGAGCTCCAGGACTCAGTCCTTGGACCTTTGCTCTTTGCAAATATTCTCACTTCTCAGATAATCCCAACCAGTCTCATGGCTTTAAAAGGCACATATATATTGGCTACTCCCAATTTTCTATTGTCAGCAAAGACTTTACCTCCCTGTTCCTTTAATAAACTATCATCTACAACTGCTATTTATCACTCCTATCCAGATATCAAATAAGCATCTAACACAGATCAGAACCAAATTTGGTGTTTTAGTAAGTTTTTTTTTTTTCATTTCTGTGACCAAAAGACCTGACAAGAACAGTTTTAGAGAAGGAAAAGTTCATTTGGTGCCCACGGCTTTAGAAGTCTCAGTCCATAGACACCCAAGTCCATGGGCCTGAGATGACGCAGAACATCATGGTAGAAGTTTGTAGATGATAGGACATGACAATTAGGAAGCAAATAGACCAATCCACTTACCAAAAACAAAATACATACCCCAAAGACATGCCTCCAGTGACCTACCTCCTCTAGCCACATCCACCTGCCTACAGTTACCACCCAGTTAATCCATTCAACTGGATTAATGCACTGACGGCTTTAAGGCTTTCATTACCCAACCATTTCACCTCTAAACTTTCTTGCATTATCTCATACATGAGATTTTGGGGGGCACCTTATATCTAAACCGTAACACTGGGCTCCAAATTTTCTCCACCAAACTTGCCTCAATGCTTTCAGTGGCTCAAGTCAAAGACACTGGGGTTATTCTTTCTCACATCCTACCTATGTTTATTAGCCGATATGGTTAGTGCTACCTTGCAAATATATCGGTATTAGGACTATGATCTATCCTCCAAACGTGCACTATACTAGAAGGGATGAAGCTCTGCTTTTGTCCTTAGAAAACAACCCAGCAGCAAGAGAGATCATTTAACACGTCAGGTCACCTCATGTCTGCTCAAAATTCTTCAGTGTCTTCCGTCCTACTTGAAAGGCGGTCTTTATCATGTCTTTATTGTCGTCTACAGGAACTTTGAAAATCACCTTTTCCACCACTGCCCTTCCACTATATTACTGCTGTCCTACTTTTCTCTTATCTTCCTCCTCCTCATTTATCTCCCTATCATTCTTCCAATAAGTTAGTGATACTTTCACTTTTTAAGACCTCTACATGCAATGCTGGATTATTTTTTCTCCAGATTCCCACATGGCTCATTCCCTCAGTATCTTCAGATATTTTCTCATCTTCTCAGTGAAAACTTCTTTGTCTACCCAGTCTAAACTGCATCCCTTCTCACTCCTCCCCAATCAATACTTATTTTCTTTCTCTGCTTTTTGTTCCCTCTTTAGCATTTACTACTATCTGATAAACCACTTGACTTAGTTATTTTAATTTCTATAAACTCCACTAGAACATGCAACCCATGAGGTCAGGAGTTTTCATTATTTCCTTTCCTTTTGTGCACCTAATATTTGAGGTAGTGCTTGAGACAAAATAGGGGCTCAATAAGCATTTATTGAATAACTGCAAGAGAAGTACTATTTTATATTATAACACCACACTCTCAGGGTGGTGATGTTCCTAGTGACACGTATCTGAAAAGCTCTAAGAACTTTTCTAAGGAAAGAACATTTCTAAGGAAATGTTTTATAATCATTTGTGAAAATAAGGGGTTAAGCTGACGTCCAGAAAAGGCTCTTTCATTTATTGCTTATGTTTTGCTAATCTAAAAAGTGTTCTGGTCTCTAGCTTATATGCCAAGCTTCGTGGACTAGAAATGTAACACCATAAGTCTGAGGCTCTTCTTTTCTTGAACACAATCTGTTGTTATCTCTCAGGATCTTACAAGGAACATGGAAGAATATTATTCTATATTCACTGATGTTTTCTACTGGGACCCTGAGGTCCGTGTAACCAGCCAACAAATATTTATGGAGAGCCAACTTGGTTCCTTTTTTTGGCATCAAAAAGGACCAAGACCCTACTTTTATAATGTTTCTATTTTTGTGAGAGGTGACAGACAAAAACAAAACGATATAAATTCTTAAACAAATTTTAGATTCTAATAAGTACTAGGATGCTAAAAGAGAATACAATGGTACATGTGTAACAGTGGTTCACTTTATGGTCCCCTTGCTGCTCTTCCACTGCAGAGCATTTTTAAAATGGACATGTTTCCTTCTCTTCCTCTCTCCCTGCTGTTCCCTAGTCTCTCCCCTTCCCTAATCTCTGGGGCAACAGGGTTACCTTTCTTCCCCATCCTAGACAGAGTTGATCTGTCCTTGGGTACACATTCACCAAAGGAATGAAGTAATCCAGACTTTGGGAATGGTACCAGAAGATGTCAGAAATGATTGTCTCCCAAATTAACAAGTGAAGTATAACTCCAACAGAGATCATGTGGAATGTAGCCTTTGAATCACCTCTTTAAAAGCCCCCTGTTCCTGCTAATGGGCAGAATCACAGACTTAGGGACAGGAGTCCCCTGCATTTCACCTTTGCTGGCAAAGCAATAAACCTTCTATTTCCTTTTTCTCAAAACCCATGTCCTTATTTCAGATTGGCATCAGGGACAGGACTGAGCTTTTATCAACAAATTTGGCCACCCAGATGGGACCTGGGAGCAGCTACCACTCCAGCTTTCTTGGTCAGGCCTGCCTCTCCAAGGAACCCCACTTCCAAGCTGAGGAGTCATGGTGCTGGTGAACTTGTTGAGAGTTAGGAGACTGGTGAGTTTGCCTTGGGGTGAACAGAGGAGCCATTCCTGTGAGTAAAGGGAGGGACCAGAGGAATGTCCCACAGTTGCCAAAGCTCCTTTTGCTTCAGGCAACTCCCATCTTCTCTCCCTAAACAGTACAGGTTGCTCCATTATGGTCTACTTTGAGAAGAAGGAAACTGAACTCAGGATACCATCAACAACTTTGGCCATTTGGTAAGTCTTCTGCTGTGCATGCTGAGCCCCCTGATTCTATATACTTGGCTCCTCTTTGTGGGAACATCTGGTCCCTCCTCCTGGGGACATTTGTGGCACCACTGATGTAGGAGTCACAGTTAAAATGGACTCTAGAACCTAGGGATATGTACTCCCTTCTGATCTGTTCTAGGTTCTCATCTGTTTCTTGGCCTTGGGATTGAGAGTCCCCTTTGCTTATCTGTTTTATTTGTATTGCCTCTTTTAAGACTTGGCCAGTACCACATTGATTCTATGGGTAATCTCTTGGGAAAGATCTTGGCTTGTCAATTTCAAGGTTCCCATCTATTGGCTATGATTTTGGGGCTCCTCTCTGTGTTTCTTTATTGTACAATCTTGCAACTGGAGTTGGTCTGTCAGAGGTAAAGTGAGTTGAAGAAAGGACCACCAATAGGTAAAAGTCTATGATAATGTTTTATTGTAATGATCTGGCTTTTGAATAGCTTTCTGGATTATTATACAATCTTGCAGTTGAAGTTGGTCTGTCAAAAGTAAAGTAAGTGGAAGAAATTTGTATGTGTGGGTCTGTCTATTTTAAAGGTTCCATTCTGTCAGCCCTGGTTTTGGTGATCTTTTTTTCCTGTCTGATTTTTTGGTCTATTACTGGTCCTTTAAGACAGGAGCCATGCTGCATTGATCTTACCTGTAGTCTCTTGAGTAGAGAGATCTTGTCTGAATGGGCCACCTACAGGTATAAGACTAAGAGAAAAACAGTTTACTGGCCCTTAAATGGTTTTTCTAGATTATTATACAATCTTGACTTTGTAGTTTGTCTGGCAGGGATAAAGTATATGAAAGAGATTCTGTATGTACAGGCATTTATGCAGTTGCACAATAAGGGATCTGAACCATCAGGAACTAAGTTGAAGGTGTCCAAAGGCACTGCTTCTGGTGTGCAAGGAGAGCAAGACACCAGAAAAAGGGTTTTAAAAAGATTTAAATCTTTGACACCCAGTGCTGGCACTCCCCACACTGTTTCTCAGGCATAGATCATCTCATGTGGTCAAGGACACTAGCCCTAATCTGTGGAAAAGAATCCCATGAAAGCTGCCTGAGCTGTAGAAAAATGTCCAAAGAGAAACTGCCCTTCCTTTCAGCCCCATTTTGCCCATGGGAGGTAAAGACTGCTGGCCACAAAAAAATGTGGCAGTAGATTCCAGCACTGTCAGTTTATGACCTAGGGACAGGACTAGTCT